AATCATAAGCCCATCTGTTTTTATGCCACGAGGAAAAAGAGACCGGTTTAGGTGTGAACACAGATTCATGAAGACAAAGAATGGCCCATTGCTTACTGCGAGTCAGTTCTGCCCTGACCCGGTTCTTGTCTGCAGCTGTTCTGATTGAGGCTTCCTCTACTTTGGTCTAAAGCACCTCTCTGACTCGAGCTATTCCCCACATAGTCACAGAATTCCTAAAGACACAATCACATTCTAATGCCAGCCTAAAAAATATATTTTATTTTTCTTTGCCAACAGAGAAGGCTGGGCTTATATTCAACCCAGCCTCTTTGCTTCTGCTTCAAGGCAAGGGGAGTTTCATGACTGTCTTACGGCCACTGCCCATTGTCCACAGACTCAATGCTAACTTCAAAAACGGTTTTTTCAAAATTGTTAATCTCATATCTTATGTAGATATACACTGTCACTAGCCAGAAGAAAGGTGGGTTTGGAATATGTAGTAACATGAGAAAGTAGAACATTTTTCTTTGCTATTGATTCTTGCTCACCTATATGACTGAATCTATAATCTTTGGTGTTGTTTATGATCGTGGACAGTGGAAGAAACAATGGGAGTTTATCACCTCAGTGAGTATAAAAAATACGTATTTGTTCATTCACTGATTATCTATTATATGTCATACAATTCCTTTGTAATATAGCTGTTATAAACTGTGTTGCTCTCTAAACAACCCAGGCAGGGAAATGCTTTGCTCAAACTGCAACCAAAGTAACAGCCATTTCCCCTTTCTGTGTCCACCTAGTTGCCTCTGAAGACTCTTTTTGTTATTGCCTTACTCTAAGATTAGGCCTCAGATTCGGGATTAAACAGAATCAATCAAACACACAAGACCTACTCATTAATAAGGTGCCTCTTCTTCCCAAAGGTATGAGTTCAAGGGTCTTCTTCATTTTGCTTTCCTGGCCCATGGAATGAGTAGAATAAACAAAAGAGATGACAGTACCAATGATAGATAAATAATTTATGTGTGAGTTTAATTCTGTGTGAGTTGGTCTATTTTGTCACACTTACCCCACTTGTCAAGCTTATATTTTAGGAAGTCCAGTAAAGACACAATGTTCCTACAGAAGAACACAATGTACTCACATTTTGGTAGTTCATGCCCTTCTCAGAAGAACCTATTATAAAACCTCAGAAGAACTGACTCTTCTGGATTGTTTTTAGAGCTATATCATCTCAAAGCACATATCCCTGTCCACAGAATGAGGAATAACATAAAACAGAAATTTCTGGATGGGAATAATACTGGGAAATAATGTATAGAGTTGATCAAAACATCAAGAAACTAAAATCTTATCTTAAATCTTAAAAACTTTTTAGTAAAAACAGAGCTAACTGCTAAATTACAACCAAAAGTAGTTGCTACTCAAGCTATGTTTCACAAATCACATGGCTCTAGGAAAGACCTGTATACCTTCATTGGAAGAAATGCCACATACATATTGCAGATGAGTTAAATATAAGTAGGACCTGGCTAATGACATAAGAAAAGAGACTACCTAATTACAGCGGAATAAACTTTGGTGTTTGAGTCCCCAAGTAATGATATGATAGAAAATTAGAAAGGAAAGTTGTACAAAATATATAGATAATTCTAGGGCTTATAACCAGCTTATGTACAAGTGGTGCTAATAAAATGTGACTCGCTGACCCTATCAAAGAAATACCCCAAATCTTGCTTTATCAGGATGGCATAAAAATTTCTTAATTATCTAGAGATGCAACTTAGGATTTATTGAAACCAGTAACCAAAAGGTTAATGGGACTAATCGCAGTTGCAGCCTGCTAAACCAGATGCAACTTTTACTCAGATCTTTTCATTTGCCTTTAAATTTTCCAGATTCTCCTCCTCTTGCTCCTCCAGAGAGCCAGATTTGAGGCTTGCTCTCCTGTCTCCTTATTTGTCTGCCTCTCAAATAAACCCTTTCCCTGGTACACAGCTCAATGTCGCAATGATTATCTTTGTTGTGCATCTAGCAGATGGACTTGGGTTCATTTACATTGTGACAAAGGCAACAATGCAATCCAGTGGAGGAAGTATGATTTTTTTTTCCAAAAATGGTGCTAGATGAACAGAATATCCATACAGCAAAAAATAGCTGAATCTCTAACTCACAAATTACACAAAAATAAATTCCAGTGGACTGCATATCTAAATATAAAATGTAAAAACAGTAAGGCTTTCAGAAGAAAACATAGAAAAACATCTCTGTGGCCTTAGAGTAGGCAGAGATTTCTTTAACAGGACACAAAAAGCACTAACCATAAAATCTAAAAACTGGACAAAATGGACTATATATTAAAAGTCCTGCTTGGTATCAAAAATCACAATTAAGAGAGTGAAAAATCAACAAATAGAGTAGGATGCTATTCACCATAATGTATCTGACAAAGGATTCTTATCCAGAATATATATTTTTAAAAACCATTAAACATAATAGCAAGTGTTGGTGAAGATATGGGGATGCAAACTGGGGCAGCCACTGTGGAAAACAGCATGGAAGTTCCTCAAAAAATTAAAAACAGAACTACCCTACGATCCAGTAATTGAACTACTGGGTATTTACCCCCAAAATATAAAAACATTAATTCAAAGGTATACATGCACCCCTATGTTTGTTTTTGTTTTTAAAGAGTTATTTATTTGAGAGAGAGAGCACAAGTGGGAGGGCCAGAAGGAGAGAGAATCTCGAGCAGACTCCGTGCTGAGCACAGCGCCTGACGCAGGGTTCGATTTGAGGATCGAATGAGATCACCCTGAGCCAAAATCAAGAGTTGGATGCTTAACCAACTGCATCACCCAGGCACCCCACATCCCTTTGTTTATAGCAGCATTATTTACAATAGCCAAATTATGGTAGCAGCCCAAGTATCCATTGACAGATTAGATAAAGAAGATGTGGTATATATACACAATGGAATATTATTCAGACATAAAAAAAGAATGAAATCTCGCAACAACATGGATGGAGATAGAGAGTGTAATAATAAGTGAAATAAGTCAGTCAGAGAAAGATAAACATCATATGATTTTCATTCATATGTGGCATTTAAGAAACAAAACAAATGAGAAAAAAAAATAGAGGCAAACCAAGAAACAGACTCAACTATAGAGAACAAACTGATGGTTAGCAGAGAAGAGGTCAGTGGGGGGATGGGTTAAATAGGTGTTGAGGATTAAGGAGGGCACTTGTGATGAGCACAGGGTGTTGTATGGAATTGTTAAATCACTATATTGTACACCTGAGACTAATATAATACTGTATGGTAACTAACTGGAATTTAACATAAAAAAACTATTAAACATTAATGAGATAAAGACACACACCTAATAGAAACATGAACAAAAGACTTAAATAACCATTTCACAAAAAAGAACAGAGAATGGCTAAGAAGGATGTAAAAAAGTGTTCAACTTCTTTAGTCATTAGGGAAATGCAAAATAAAACCACTACCCACCCACAAGAACGGCTAAAATGAAAAAGAGGGGAAATACCAAATGCTGATGAGAATGTGGAACTAAAACCATGCCCCACTGGGTTAACAAGGTTGAAACTAGCGGAGAGTTTAAAGCTTGTTTTTCAGAGAACCGTTTCTCCCTAATCAGCTATTGTGTCTTTTCAGACTCCACTAACAAATCCGTTAGCCGTCTCTAAGGAAGCCTGGACTCAAGGTCAACTGGGTCCAGCCTAGGAACAAGCAAGGCCCTGCATTTCTTATCTGAAATAACAAGCCCAAGAATCATCTAGTTTACAGCTGCTCTCAGAGCATGCCCATAGCCCCTTCTCCTTGTCTTAAGATAACCTCCCGATCTCAGGAGCTGAATTTAGCCTCCTTTTGATGTTGTCTCCAGGCCCAAAGTGAACATGTTACATATATGGTTGTTCAATGCACATGTTCCATCTTTCCTCCTGTTTCCCTGCCTTTTTCCTCAATATGCATAAATCTCAATCCCTATGATTACAAAAAACTTGTTCTTTCCTCCCTGGGAAGGCAAATTTGAGGATTGTCCTCCCATCTCCTTATTCAGCGGCTTCTCCAATAAACTTTCCTTGCTGCATACCTGATGTCTCAGTGATTGGCTTTGCTGCACATGGGTCAGACAGATTTGGGTTCGGTTACAGAGCAACCACTTTGGAAAACTGCTTGAAAGTATTTATAAAAGTTGAACATCATAATATCTTCTGATATTATGTAATTCTAATCCTGGGTAAATATGCATGTTTCTACAAAAGGCATGTTCTAGAACATTTAGCTACACTACTCACTGTATTCCCAAACTGGAAATAATACAAACCACCACAGTAGAATGGATGTATAAATTGTGACATATTCAGGCAACAGAATATCAAACAGGAAAGAAAATGAAGAACTCCCAACTACACACAAGGTAGCTTAAACAAATAAAGTGGGAAAAACCTCAACAGAGAGAGTGTATGCACCATGATTCCATTTATACAGAGACTGTTAGAAATCTGGGTGATGGTTACTGGAGTAACCAGAGAAATCTGGGTGATGGTTACTGGAAGGGGATCTGAGTGGGTATTCCTGGGGTGTGTGCAATATTCTGATTCTTGGTCTACATTCTGGTTATATGGATTTATTCAGTTCGTCAAAGTTTACCCAGATGTATCCAAATTAAGAAGTTATAATTGAAACAAAAGAATAGTGACAGCCAAGGAGATCATAATGAACTCCATGTCCCCACCCCCTAAACCTTGCGCGCGCACCCACACAATAACATGAAAACCTCATTGGCTGGGAGTAGGTGACGCACTTCCAAAAGCAGCATCTTAGCACCGCCCCTTCCGCCTCCTGGTCGTCCGACCTTCCCGCGTCTAGAGCGTGTGGCCTCACGACTTCGGCCTCTTGGACCAAGTCCTGCAGGCAGAAAGTGACTCTTGTGCTTGGTGGCAGCCTCTTTCCCGGTCACCACCATCCGACCCCATTTGCTACCCGCCGCCATTATGAACGTCCGCAATGCTCGGCCAGATGACCTGATTAACATGCAACACTGCAACCTTCTCTGCCTTCCTGAGAACTACCAGATGAAATACTATTTCTACCATGGCCTTTCCTGGCCCCAGCTTTCTTACATTGCTGAGGACGAGGGCGGGAAGATTGTGGGCTACGTCCTGGCCAAAATGGAGGAGGACCCAGATGACGTCCCCCATGGACATATCACCTCACTGGCGGTGAAGCGTTCACACCGGCGCCTCGGCCTGGCCCAGAAGCTGATGGACCAGGCCTCCCGGGCCATGATAGAGAACTTTAGCGCCAAGTACGTGTCCCTGCACGTCAGGAAGAGTAACCGAGCAGCTTTGCACCTCTATTCTAACACCCTCAACTTTCAGGTTAGTGAGGTGGAACCCAAATACTATGCAGATGGGGAAGATGCCTATGCTATGAAACGGGATCTCTCACAGATGGCAGATGAGCTGAGAAGGCAGCTGGAGCTGAAGAAGGGCAGGTTTGTGGTGCTGGGCTCCAGGGAAAACCAGGAAACCCAGGGAAGCACATTTCCTGGTTCCGAAGAGGATGGTCAGAAGGAGAAGAACCCCGCCGCTGATGATAGTGGCAGTGACAGCAAGGAACCCAGTGAGTCCGAGGAGAGCACTGATGTCCGGAACAGCTCAGAAGATTCAGATTCTACCTCCTAGAACCTGTTTAAGGTATTCTGTCCTGATTCAGTCCCCTCCTACCCTAAATCTCTGCGCCATACATTGACGTGCCCAATCCCATCCTATCCCTTCCCATTCTAGTCCTGCTGGACCACTGGTGACCTTGCAGGGAGGAGTGTTAAGTGGGTTGGAGGAAACTCATCGCTCACTAGTGGAAGTTAATAGGACTCCCACTCATATGCTAAAAGTAGATTAAATTCAGTAAAAGAAACCAGCATTTATCCAACTTTTTTAGTGTGAATTGTATTTTAGGGTATCCATATAGTTGGTGAAAGAAATTTTTTCTTTATAGAATTACAGCTAATAAATGCAAGAGAGTGATAGAACTTTAAGACCACTATTTTGCAACTCCTGATTAAATCATAGATTTAGCCAACTGTTATCAGTGGCTAATAATTACTAGATGCAAATTGAAGCACTTTGTAATTACAGATCAGATTGACAACACTTGAAGTCACTGGGCAAGAGTAATGTCACTAAAAGGGAGACAAATGTCACGTGCCTCCTAATGCAATATGAAGTGCACAGTAACACCTAGAAATATTCTTGCCAAAAGAAAACTGTATGTCTGTGTGTGAAATTAATCTTGAATCCAAACAAGGCTTTAGATCTTACTACCATTTCTATAAAAAAACAACAACAACACAGGGACATATTAAACTGTGTGTGCCATGATGCAATCAGCCAAATACAGAATGAGAGAATTTGTACAGAACCAATGACCTCATTTCTTCAACAAACAAATGTCATTTTAAAAAAGGGAGGAAGTTTATTAAAATAAACTTTAGAGGTATATTAGCCAAATGCAACCATTGTGGACATTGTTTGGGTCCTGATTTAAACTAATCAAATGCAAGACATTTTGAGACAGCCAAGAAAATTTGTGAACACCGTCTATGAATTGTCAGTGATTTTGTTTGGTGAGTGAAATGGTATTGTATTTTTTTAAGTCCTTATCTGTTAGAGATACTTACTGAAATAATTAGAGGTGAAAGAATATGAGGTCTCAGATCTACTTTAAAATATTCCAGCAAAAGAGAGGGAAAAAAGTTAGGGAGCGAGAAATGTATAAAATAAGAATGGCAACAGATGAAAATTGTTGAAGTTGGCAATGGGGGGTTTTAATTTGGAACTTGGGGGTTTCTTTATGCTATTCTTTACTCTTTTGAATGTGTGAAAATTAACATAAAAGGCAACAAAAACAATTATTATACTTCCTAATACACATTAATGCTGATACTAAGAAGCCACTAAAAAGTAGTTGGTTTTTTGTATTTTTTTAAAGATTTTATATATCTATTTGACAGAGAGATAGAGAACACAAGTAGGCAGAGAGGCAGGCAGAGGGAGAGGGAGAAGTAGGCTCTCCGCTGAGCAGGGAGCCCAGTGTGGGGCTCGATCCGGGGACCTTGGGATCATGACCCGAGCCGAAGGCAGCTGCTTAACCGACTGAGCCACCCAGGCGCCCCTAAAAAGTAGTTTTAAAGACTATTTAAATACAGGACTTTCTAACACCCTAAGAATTTCAAGGATCAATGAGCTACTGTCAATTTAGAAACTTTAACTTCTAAACAATTTAGAAACTTTTACTCTTACATATGAAAAAGGGAACTTTCTCATAACAAAGGCCAGTCGTGAGTGATAGACACTGTATATAGTTAAAATAAATGCTGTTTGATTTACCGATTCTTAAAAATTTTTACTTGCCAAGCATGAGGCTTGGAGTTGGTATATAATCATGATCTGGACAGGTTGATGTTAACATTATATAATACTTAAAGATTTTATTTATTTAAGAGAGAGAGAGCTCACAAGCCGGGGAAGCAGTAGGCAGAGGGAGAGGGAGAAGCAGACTCCCCACTGAGCAAGGAGCCTGATGTGGAGCTTGATCCCAGGACCCTGGGATCATGACCTGAGCCAAAGGCAGATGCTTAACCAACTGAGCCACCCAGGCGCCCCCATTATATAACACTTAAGAATAAATGTACTATATTTTTTACACCTTTTAATGCTGAAGCCCAAACTGTATTGCACACTAACCCTATTTTATTCTCATTCAAGTATAGTTCCATAGGTTATAAAAATTTAGGTATAGTAATTTCATGGAGGTTAGAAAGAGTGTGACCTCAGAGGAGTCCTTGCATCTGGTTTTTAACAACCTGAACATTTCAAAATGACTGATTCATTTAGTCAAAGGTTAAGTTAAAGGCAACAGAACAATCTAAAAGGAAGGTAAAATTAAACAAAACTTAATGTCTTAAGAGAATTGTTGTCAAATTTACATCTGCCTTAAAAACCCTGAAGGGGGGTGGGGGTTTGGTTAAATATGTGATGGGGATTAAGGAGTGCACTCACCCTGATGCGCTCAGAGTGATGTATGGAAGTGTTGAAACTGTACACTTGAAACCCATATAATACTGTATGTGAACTAACTGGAATTCAATATAAATTAAATTAAAAGAAATTAAATATAAATTAAAATAAAAACTTAAAAGCAGGAAAAAAAAATCTTGAGAGGCTCTGTCAAGACTATTTGATTTAAATCAACAAGCCTTTAAAAAAATTACCAATTTTCAAATCCCCAAATAGAAGGACTTATGTAATATTGATCTCATCTTTGTGGTTACTGGCTCCTCTTCAGTTGTTACACTGTAGCTAAGAAGGATCTTAAGTAGAACAGAGCTAATTGAAGATTGCTTTAAAATAATAAATTATATATATTCACACATATTTTGTTACTTATATATTTTATATATTTACATATATGTTATATATATGTATATATATTTTGATGAATTCAAAAGCGCTTAATACCTGCTGTGAGAAACAAAAATGATTGCCACCCTAATAGGGGAAGAGAAAATAATAAATAATATGAAATAAGAAAATTATTGTGTGACAGTTATAAATCTCAGAGTCCAAACTCAGGGATAATTGAAGTATTTCTTTATATTACTATTACTGAAGTTTATTTCTAAGTTGAAGGAGATGATTCCTGTACTTAGCATCACTATCCTCCCAGGTCGATATCTGCTGAGTCATCATCATTGGCCTCATCTAATCTTTGGTCTCACTCTTCACTTCTGCGTCCTTTCTACCCAGAGGCCTCATAAGGTCTCTATACTCTGCCATGTTTGGGCCATTTTGGTAGCAAGGGGATTAGTCTATGTAGGCTAACTGTTCTTAAAAAATAACCCCCAATCTCAGTGAGTTAACAAAATACCAGCTTATTTCTGACATCACAGTCCAGTGTGGGTTAGCAGTGTGGTGGGGATATGCAAGGGAGAAGAAAAGCAGGGCCCAGCTCCATAAAGTCACTCAGGAATCCATCTAGAACAGTTGTTTGAACTTGTTTTATTCCATAACCCCTCTGGCAACCTCGTGAAGCCTAAGGATCCCTTCTAAGAAAATTGTTTTTATACGGCAGACAAATCATACGGGATTTCAAAGGAAATCAGTTTTATTGAAATATAGTTATCAAGCTATTTTAAAATAAATTTGTTATGTATATGCCTCTTCATTATCATATGAAATTTAAAAATCAAGCAGTGGGTCTAGTAATTACTGTTACTTCAAGGAAAATTTGGTTGTAAATGATATTTTGAGATACCTTCAACAGCTGTAATATAATATGAAAATACCTATGGTTTAGGTATTTTTGTTGGTGACAAAGCCACAAGTCATGCTAGTACTCCTGTGCATTGGTGTCTATATTCATAATTGAAGGAAATGCTAAATTTCAGTTAGAGGTTAATGAAAATACAGATTTTTTTTGTTCCAAATCCAAGGTCATAATCTCCTGAATTCTCTTATTAACTCTCAGGGTAAGAACCCCCGATTCAATGACTCTGCATTTTCTAGAATCGTATGTCCCCTACTGGTTCATATACATTCACAACATGGAGATAAGGGAAGAGACTGCATATGGAGGTTTATGTAGTTTTTAAAAGTCAGTACCATTTTTTCCAACTAACAGCAGGGGAAGCTAGGAAATGTAGTTTAGCTTTTTGCCCAGGAGGAAAAAGAATGAGTTCTGGTAACCAGACCGCGTAGTTTCTGCAACAGTGGGAAACATCCCAGTGGTGCTGTGGACCAGGAGAAATTCTGCTTCCCTGCCCAGCTAAGAGCTTAGGATTCTTCTGCTGCTCCCTCTTCATAACGTGGCACGGGAAAACTCTGTGAGGCTACCCAGGGCTATCTGCTTAGTCACATGACACATGTTTTCTTCTCTTTACAAACTTGGGTATGGGAAACTGGGATTCTGCCACCTTGCTGTCTTTATGCCTCTCATTAAAGCCTGGAAGAAATGACCCCTTTATTGTGAATTCCCCCAAACTGCCTATGAAGTTTCAGTTATCATCCCCCACCTCCATCCCACTCAGCAGGGTTTCACTAGTATACATGCTTAGTTGCCTGAATGGGAACAGCCTACTTGTGAGGACAAGAAAGAGTAGGAAGAAAGGATTTTAAAGGTTAATTATCCTGCCACAATTAAGGCACACCCTCCTTGGAGCTAGAGTTCAAATACCTACAGAAAAAAGTCCTGAAATACTAACTTTCCATTTTCTTTTATCTCCTCCTGTGGGTCAGGGCAACAGAGACAGTTAAAGTTAGAGGTGATAGTGAGTAGGGCAGTTGGTGAAGGAGATTATCTTCATCTACAAAGTAATAAAAATTACTACTAAGAATATGAGAACTCACTATGTTACAGATACTATTCTAGGGACTGTCTATGAATAATCTCATTTAATCTTTCATAATAGCCCCTGAAGTAGGTACTGTTACTCCATTTTACAGATGAGGGCTGCATGACTCATAGATAATAAATGGGGAACAGGGATGCACACTATGGTAGTGAGACTCCGTGATGGTGAGAATCAAATGAGACAATCCCTGTAAATTGCTTAGCACACTACCTCACACACAAATATTCTGTCAATTTTAGCTCTTAATATAATCTATAGTAATAGTAACCATTCAGCTTCTTTCCTTTTCTTCTGCACAGTAATCAAATGATAGAATGTTGTGTATGAGCAGCAACAGTTTGCAATCTTGGAAGGGAGATGCATCTTAATGATTAAAATAGCTTTCACTGACAAGCTGAATGTCAAAGCATTCAGCTGAATCAATGCTAATCAACAGCAAAGTTTCTAGGGAGCCATACCAATGAAGACAGGTCAGTTCAAAACCTGCTAGTTGAGGCAGGGAGTGCCATCAAACTGACGCCTATCTCCTGACAAGAAATATGTGCTTGATGATTAATAACAAAAAAGAAAAAGAATGCAAAATCTCAAAATTTTCCATTGAGCTGGCAATATTGAGTTAGCCAGGGTTACTTCAGTGACTCTCCTTTCTGGTTCTTTCTGTCGCTAAGCTGTCATCCTAACAAAAAGTTGTTAAATGTTCACATGAGCATTCACTGAAATAGACTGTTCTTAATTTTACCAGACAACTAATTATAACTGGAATGATATAATGAAATATGGAAGAAAGTTAGAGACTGACAGGTCTGGTAAATTCCTAGTATAACCTTACCCCAGATATGCCAGAAACCATAGATTTCAAATGTAAATGCACCACTCTATGAAGATAAAGAGGGGGTTGGGAAGAGATAAAATATTGTTTTGAAATACTAATCAGATGGATACCATTTGTTGAATTATTTATAATCTCTAACAATGTCACTTTTCAATCAGTGTATGCTGTACAGTTAGGGTGAATGAAATACCAACTTTGTCAGGGGTAACTGATAAAAGCAGAGGTTTTTTCTAAATTGTATACTCTATCTGTGCTGCAGTATATAAATTTGAATATGAGCATTATGGTAGAAGATACAAGGAAGAGAGGATATTAAAAATTATGTGAATGGCAGTGGTTCAAGGAGCCAGAGGAAAAAACCTTCTTGAAGACGTTCTGCAATGCTGTTTCTATAGACTAACATCCTCAAAACATCATAGGTTTTCTTTTCTTTTAAAATAAAGCATAAAATTCTGTTTTGTGTTCATAAACTCGTGTTAACAATTAAAATATTTCTCAGGCCAGGGGCGCCTGGGTGGCTCAGTCAGTTAAGTGTCTGACTCTTGATCTCAGCTCAGGTCTTGATCTCAGGGTGGTGAGTTCAAGCCCTGTGTTGGGCTCCATGCCAAAAAAAAAAAATTATTTCTCAAGCTTCCATTGCCTACCCTTAAGAAATCCTGGTAATGAAAAAAAGAAAAAAAAAACCAGAAATCCTGGTAATGTAAAAATTTGAACTTAAGCTAATTAATTAAGCGCTTTAATATTCATATTTTAAAAAGAATGACTATAAAAAGTTTCTGTACCCTTAAACAGTAAACTGTCCTAGGGCTTTTATTACATTGTTATTTGACTTTTAAAATTTAATGTCTTAACTATGGTGAGTGCTGTGAATTGTGTAAGACTGATGAATCACAGACCTGTACCCCTGAAACAAATAATACTTTATGTTAATTAAAAATTTAATGTCTTAAAATTATCAAGCAGTGTTTACTGAGAAAATTAAAACAATATATAATATTTGGTTTTTATATAACTACTTTTGCAAGCCTATCTTAATATTTGAAACAAATTGAAAAAGGTAATGATGATAGTCTTTCTCATATCTTATTACTCCTCTATTATAGCAAATACACTTTAAAAAAAAATAAGATTTTGTATTGTATGCTTCTTACTGTCCCGCAACTTGATTTACTGTTGTTATTCTAGAAACTGACTTTTCTATCATTATGATTTTGTGGGAAAAAATGCTTTTTAACCACTCTGTGCATAATAATCAACCTTTATCTTATTTTTATGTGCACTTGATAGATGAGAAAAATGCATCTTTATAGTTGTAAGGTTCTGTTGTTTTATTTGTAGTTACTTAGCAATGGGCAGTAATACTCGACTAGCTTTTCTTTAACTTACATATTGCATTCACGTATCATTATAAACCAAACTACCTTATTAAGGATAGGGTCCATGTCTCATTTATCTGTTTCCTAAACTCCTCGCACATTATTCATTCATTGTAGGTACTCAGTAAATATTCATTGAGTGAATGAAGGAAGAAAGGAAACTCCCAAATTACCTATGCAGTAATTTTAAAAAGGAAAGTAGGGAAAATGTATATAAGGTACTACTTCCTATTACCTAATGTAATTAGAACACTTTAAAATTATGAATAAAGAGACATAATGGATATTTTGGTTTCATCTCCAGCTCTCTCAGAAAATATGACTTATAGAATTGGACACATTGTATCTAGCTTATCAAGAGCTAAAAAGGCCTTTCATTTCTTTAGAATTGAAATAAATTTCTTTTTGAATGGAGTAGGATGGGCTAGAATTTGAAGATGGCAAGCAAAAGTATCTTGGTTTCTCTAGGTTTAAAATGGGATTTTTGGGGGTGTTTCAGTATGCTCCTTCCTCCCCCTTCTCCTGGCAGAAGTGGATTTTAGGTACCAGGAAAAGTTCATGTCTCCTCATGGCTGGGAGGGAAGAGAGCCCCAGATCCACGTGTGGGTCTTCGTGCTGTCATCCGAATTCTCACTGGCGTCTATGGAGATAGAGTCTAAACTGGTTACTGGTACCTTATTGATCTGCTGCTGAAGTCTGTCATTGGTTAAGCCAATATTGTATTCTTTTAGAGTTTAGAACCTGTAGCCCTCTCTTGCTCACTTGCCCTCTTCTCACTTCTCAACAGCATTGCAGTTCCTCGCATCTCAGCCACGTCTGCCCTCTAAGCCCTGGCTTAGCCTGTCTGCTCTGCAGCACCTTTCCTGGGATCATCTCACAATGGCCCCAATGGCTTCTCACTCTCAACAGCAACCGTCTACATATCCCCCTGGGATTATAAAGGAATACCTGGATACAAGAGCCTCCTGCACAAGAGCCAAGAAAGTTTGAGGCCTGCCATCACAGAACCTTCTTTGGCCTGCTCACACCATGCCACCATTTTACTCTGTAGTAGTCCTGTGTTGGGTGTGGTTGTCTTGCAAGTTGTCTCCTCCTAGAACACTGAACAGGAAGCAGGGCAAACTCCTGAAGCTCCTCTGCTTTCAGGTTTTGCCATTATTTATCGGGTTTTCATTCTTGAGGGTGTAGTCAGGACCATCAAGTCAGACCTCATGCCCTCCTTCCTCTTCTTCTTCTTTTCTGGAGGAAGTATTCTATTTTCTCTTCCTTTCTCTGGGAACTCATCGTTTGTCTTACCCTCCCCTTTCTTGAGGCGGTATTCTCCTCCTCTTTGCCAGTTGGAGGAAGTCACGAGTAAGGGCTTCTACTACGCAATCAGAACTTGGAGATTTTAAGAAAAGGACAACCAGTGATTAAATTGCAGGATTTAATCTCCTTATTTGTGTCAATTTGTTTTTTTGTTTTTTTGTTTTTGTTAATGACACAACTTGCCATTTATTGAGTACCTATGATATTCAGGTACAATGTAGGACTTTTATTAATGATATATTTAACTCTCTCAGTACCCCTAAAAGGTAGGCGTTAGGATTCCTGTTTTATTCGTGACAAAACTGAAGCTCAAAGAAGCAAAGTAAATATCTGGGATCTGAACCCGAGTCTATTTGAATTCAAGGCCAAAGCTTCGTTCACTTTCCCATTGCCACTCTTTGCATTTTATTCATAAAGGTGTGAAAACTATAGCAAAAAAAGGAAAATCTACAGTTTAAAATGTTCTGTTGACTTAATACATGGCAACTCTATGTCATTTGTAAGTATTTCTGTATAACGCACCATTATAATCCTGTTTTACTATTTTTCTCCAGTAAAGTTAAGACAAAGTGCTTTGACCTCTGCAGTGTGTCACCAGATAAATCCAGAGTTATCATTACTTAACATTGTTTTTATATTCACTGAATGTGAATTACCATAGTATATAACATTTCTCATGTTTAAATTTTTGTGAAGACTAGTGTATATGGTTTTAAGTCAAAGCCTTGACATTAACCATCTGATGACAAGAAATAAATCTGTTCTCTGTAATCATAATCAGCCCTGCTAAGCACTTCTTACAAATCTCCCCCAATGCACTCTAAGAAGGCCTACCTAATAGTAAATGATTGCCTGAGGCAGATAGAAAAGTTTTTCCCCCACACAATAAGGATTTGCTATTTCCTGTGGTAATACAAACCTCTCATCTATCTTTCCATTTTTCCTTTTTTTCTTTTTAATTTTCTCTCCCAGCTCTAAAACTATTTTATTCCTTCCCCTCAAGCATGTGTTTATCTCTTTATTTTTAAATATTGCAGCTTTCTAACATCTGTCTCTAGGGCAGCATAATCTTACTGATGAAATATTCCATGTTTTCCTTGAGCCTTTGTCAATATGTCTTCGTGTTAACAGCTTAGCAGATGGAGAAACAGAAGGAGTAGCCTCAGCTTACCTGAATGATTTCTCTCCAGCACCAGGCACATTACTGTCTGTAGTAACTTGATGATAGGAATTGGAGTAATTGGAAAATAAGAAATGATATCTGACTTTTGCAGTGTTATTTACTAAAACTATTGGCTGCTTTTCTTTGTTACCATTATATCCTTTTTCCCAGTCTCCTACCAGGAGAAGGCAGAATTACAGCAACCCCTCTAGTTTGGACTGTACCACTTCAGATAATGAAAGTAAAATAAACAATAATACTAATATTGCTTTAGGCATAAATTAACATGTTCCCAAGTGATTCCAGAGTAATAACGGTGATTTAGCAGCAGCAGTAGCTTTCTGTAACACTGAAATTGTGGGAACCTGTGACACTGCTGTTTGTAATAACATTGTTCTTTTTACGTAGGACAAATTATTGGGGTTTTTTGTTTTTTGTTTTTTTAATGGGCTGCCTGCTTTTTACTGAAGTACAATCCTGGGAAGGCTAAAGCAAGGCTTTGAAGCAAGGATGTAGGATAGTAATGGTGAACAACCTTGTACTAGCTGAGAGAAGGACCCACACCCTCTCCTTGCAGCTTTAAAGAAACTGTTGGGTGGGCTCAGGACTGTCAGAAAATTAATCAGAAATATTAATTATCAAGATGAAGAGTTTTCTTTGGCTGGAGAGAGAAACTTGTGAATGAAGCCTGTGAGTTACCTAGTTGGAATTTGTGTGATTTTCCCTCTGGAAATGAGAACAAGGGGCAGGAGATGATCATCTAAAATAAAAATAATGGGGTGTGTGGATGTGTGGGAAAAGTAGGGAGTGGTGCTGGAAGTTAGTTCAAAGCTGGGAAAATTTGGAAAGGATCAGGACTCTGAAATAGCTGAAGGGAGGTTTTCTCATTTTTACGTGCAGATGAGTCACCTTGGGGATCATGTTAAAAATGCAGATTTTGTTTCAGTGGATCTGGGGTGGGGCCTGAGTGTCTGCATTTCTAACCATTCCTAAACAACACTGATGTTGCTGGTCTAGGAACCACACTTTGCCTAGTAAGGTTCTTAAAGCTCATCTCCAACCCTGTAACTAAGTCCAAAACACCTGTGACTAGCCCTTGGGTCAGTTTGGATTAAATACTAAATAATTCAGAAGCCCATTCTTAAATACAAAGTCACACAAATCCTGTTTGTTTTTGGAATTTTGTTACATAGGGCTGATGACCTAATAATTTCAATAAAAATTCCAGATATATTTCATCAAAATGTATACAACCAAAAAATTTATATATACAGTATATGAAATGTGTTGATAATAATTGACATTACATCTTCTATTAGTGTTTTATGTTAATATTTCCTTACCTTTGATATCCAAACAAGTAAACAGTATATGAGATTTTTAAAAATTTCGCTTTTCATTATCATTCAATTAATTGTGTTCATTGGTCCACAGATTACCCCAGACACTAATAATTTTTTCCATGCTGACATCTGACACAGAATTTGAAAATGAACACAACCTTTTGTTTTGTTTTAAATTGGAGCATCAGACATCAGATCTTTCTGTGGAGGTGGTGTGGGAAACCCTTTCAAGAGAGGTTTTTTTGTCCAAGGATAAGAATTTCTAGCCCAGGAGTTCTCAACCTATGCATCCAAGTCACCCAGGTGCTATGTTAAAGATGCAGCTCAGGTTGACTCCAGCTCAGATTTTTTCACATACTGCTATCTGAAAATCACTGACTAGTAGAAGGTGTTGAATTCCTTATAAAGGTAATTTGAAGAGCACTTTTGCCATGGTGATACTCTGCAGACTTAAATTAATTTGTCATAAGTAGCAGAAAACTCAGAGAAATTATAACACATTTTTGTTTATTATAAAACATATGGGAATGATTGAGGTTGTATATGGGAACTCTGTATGTTCTCATTTTTCTGTAAACAAAACTGCTCTAAAATGGCCATTAATTAGAAAATAAAATGTACACACTGAATTTTACATGTGTGGTCATTTGATATATGTAGATGATTATACATATATTTTACGTAAATGTGATTATGTCATGTATGTTATTTTTAGGGTGTTTTTTGTCATTAATTGCCCCCCCAGTCCTTTCCCCGTCCACCCACATTCCTTTCCCTAGCATGCTAACATAGTTTTATCCTGTATTTTCCTCCAAGTTTTTTAAAGCAAACAATAGCTACAATTTAGCAGTTGTGATGTATAGCACAAGCTTGAAGAGTGAGAAAGCTCACAAATCACACTGAAGTGTTCTTAATTTGTTTCTAAAACAAAAAGCTCAAATAACGCAATGTGCAGCTAAGAACCAGATACCAGGCCAGTCTGGAATCCCATGCCCTTCTACTCATGTTTCATTAGTTCCTCATATCCCATCGTCATCTGGGTGTTCTGAGTTAGAACTTGTATTAACAGTACTCAGCCAAAAACCAATGAAACAGACCAAGTGACTTATCAGGATCCTTCTTTATACCTTTTTTTAGACATGAATGCTTCTTTGAAATCTTAAAAGATACAGTTCATTTCCTTGAAGCACACTTGAAGGGTTATTTAAATACCATGTTTCCTTATATGGACATAGGAATTACTTTTTGTGAATTTCTGGGGGGAAAAAGTTCTTTCATTATAAATCATACATATATTGCTTTCCTACCCAAATTTAGATAGATTTTGCACTTTAGGTGCAAAATCACCTCAACTGCATATTATAAAAGCTTACCTAGAGAACATAGTCTTTAGCAAGTTGAACAATTTTCATAAGAGGTGGTTTAATAGAGTGGGAAATCACAGACCTCCGAGTCCAAAGGCTTAACTTTTAATCCTAGTTTGGCTTATTACTACCTGGATATCCTCTGGCATGTCAATTTTCTCATTTGTAAAATAGAGATAAAAATAACTTCCATGCCCTCAGGGTTATTGTGTAATGAGGTAGTATAAGAAAAACTGCATTGTAATTTGTTAACACATGTAAATGCTATTGCTAACTAACACTTCTACTTCCAGAGATTTTTATCCCCACGTTCAAACTGGTGCAAAATAACATTGATCATTCATTTTCTTTTTCCTTCCTAGCCATCCAGAAAAAAATCAGTGCTTTGGCAATGATGAATGTGTAATGTATGTGATATTTCAAGGGGTGAAGAAGGGAGTGGATTCCTATAAATGTAGGAAATCAACTGTATATTCATTTAAAAACAAAAGGGGCTTAATAAAATTGTTTATCTCTTGTTCTCTATGACCTAAGCATTCGTATGTAGTAAGATTATTCATGTAAATCAAACTGTACTTGCCTCCCATTTGCATGGTTTTGAGGAAAAGAGACACACACACACACATACACACAGTGACCAAAGTTTTCACATACTCAAAAGCTTCAGTAAACTGGTAGTGCATTAGGGCAAGCATCTGGTTGATTTTCCATGCCAGAGCCCTAAGCAAGGTATTAAGTCCCACAGTCCCTACTTTTTTACTGAAAGCAGATACAAAAGCTAAAGTTTGTTAAATAATAGATGTTATAAAGAATCTTGAAAATTATGGACTCTCTCATATAAGGAGGTTTCTAGGAAGCAAATATTTCTAATTTCCCCTTGGCATCCAAGACATTTTGTGTCCTGGAACAGTGTACCCTACTTACAAGATTCCTGATGAGGGGTAAACCTTTCTTTTGTAAAATAGAAGAAAAATTAGTGTGAAGGAAAGGTAAGAGAGAACCAACACCACAGGAGTGCTTTTAGGCAGATCGGTCTAGGAAGATGTACATTGGAAGTTGAGGATACAGATTTTAAGTCCCTTAAAATTCCCCTTGCCTGTGTATCCCTTGTGAAGCACTCCTCAATATGAAAAGCAATGCTTTGTTGTATATTTTCCAGCACTTCATACATGTTCTTAATTTTATTTTCTTCCTTAAAATTGGGGGTCTGGGGCAAGGGTTTGGTTAGTTTATATCCAGGAAGCATCTTAGGCTAAA